CAACAAACTTCTTAAGAGTAACAGGCTTAGACATGTGGAAGCCCAAGGTTATAGGTAATTATGCTAGAAAATTCCTTTCCCCTTTTGGTAAAAAAAGTATACATATGTGCATTACCTTCTTTGTTTAAAGTGGGATGTCTAGCAGCCTCACTCATGGGATCTGGGCAGTGTGTCAGGAGGGAGAAAGTGAACCAACAGTTAGTTCATTGGGCTTTCAAATTTATACCGCTGGTTCATTCAGAAAGCAGTAAGGTTGCCTTGGGCCTTCAAAGCCTTCAAAACAGCATGCAGCAGTTTTAGTCCTCAGGAACTCATGTTCTGTGGAAGGTAGCCCTTCTATAGAGAGCATCAGCACAGCTGGGTGAGGACGTCAGAGAAGTAAGTGCTTCCGCCTATGAGGCCACACAGGTTGTAGGGATTAGGGTCAGATTTGATGCTTATAGCAGCTGGATGCTCACATGTGTTCAATTTATCGTGGCTCTTACATGCAAAGAAGAGTTTAGAACAGTGAGCAAACAAATCATAATGATGTGATGAACAGTTAGCAAGAAGGATAACAAACTCTGGTTTATTGGTTAAACTGTTACTCTCTACTTCCCAAAATACAGTGACCATATTGCCCTGTTGCTGTTTCAGTAATATTTTTTTTTTTTTTTCTGTAGTACATTTTGTAAAACACTTAATGCCTACAGTACCCTGAAAGTTAGGCATTATCATTCCCATCTGAACATAACGAGATGGTATTTCCCAAGGTATTGGAACTGGAGATCTGGAACTCAGTTCCATTCCTCTGATTCTTGTTTTTGTTTCAGCTCAGAGATGCACCCACTTTTTACACAATAAAAAGTCACTGCTATAGTCGTGGCTGGAAATGGTCATAGCGTGCTTATTACACAGGCTTTCCTCAAATGAGTATGCTTTTTTTTTTTTTTTTTTTTTTAAAGAATGAAGGGATTTGTGTAAGGCATATAGAGCCATGTTAGTCTTTAGTCTTTACCAACAGTGAGGTAGGTAGGTAGTTTACCAAGGCCAGAATAAGCCGTAAAGTAAGAAAGCAAATGCCTAGATTCATCAGCTGTTTCTGTCTACTGCAGGCTTGAAGGGGGTACAGCATAGCTCAGACTTAGGGTATCTCAGGGCTGTTGGTTTGTTTTCAGCACAAGCCCCATCTTCTACTTAGCTAGAAATGCATTATGACACACTGCAGAGCTTTCCATTTGTGATACTTTGCAACCTCCACTTGTTTACAGATTATCAGCATGAGGGGGAAAAGGCCATGGCTTCCCAGTGTGGAGGTGTCTCACCATTGCTAGGTAGTTGTTGGAGTTGTTGTGAGGGTAAAATGAAGGCACATTTGCCTGCACCCTGAATTAGAAAGAAATCAGGCTGAGAAAGCATACTCTCCCATTGGAACTCCCATTTCTTTATTTTGTATGTTTGAGGTTATACATACATACAGGCCAAGGACTTATGACAATTGTTATAAAGTGCTTGTGAACTTTTTAGCATCATAAGTTGAGATTTCTCTCTTCTGTCCTTTAGTTTACCCAAGAAGCTACAGTGCATGAAAACATCTCTGTGCAACTGCCTTCTTCGAGGCTCTATTATCAGCACTTCAGAGTGTTCTCCCAGACAAAGAGGATCAAAGCTTAAAGTTTTATCGAGACAAAGGAAACCGCAGAGAAAGTTACAGTCAACTCTTTTAAAGGAAACTCTGCAGGTCCCTGAAGGGACTCTGAAGAACACTAGGGACCCCAGTGCTAAGTGGAGCCGCTCTGGTGGGACAGTTCAGAGGACAGATGTCTGTCCTAACAGAAAGCAGATCTTGAGAAGACTTTCAAAGCCGGTCCTGAAAACGAAGGAGCCAGGGTTCCAGGGGAATCTCACAGCAGTCAGTGGAAATGAAACTGGTTTGTGGACAAAGAGACAAACACACACACACAGTGTGCCAGAAGCTGCTAAAGAGGCAGATGACATTGATGATATTTTTGCTTTGATGGGTGTTTAGATGTTCATATGTGAAACTTCTGGGCAGTTACCCAGATGCTTCGGGGTTCTGCTGTTTTAAGTGGAACCGCTGAGAGCTGGAAACACTGCTTGGGCCAGGAGCTGCTTCTCTGCAGCATTCCACACAAGTGCATGCCAGTTCAATAAACATTTACAGCAGCTGTGTCAGTTAATCTGTTAGTATTTATTTGACTATGACTGTGTAGGGAGTGGTGTAAAATACAGTATAAAAAAAAAAAAAAAAAAAAAAAAAAAAAAAATCTGTCACAGTCTGCCTCTGAATAACACATACCTTCTTTCTTGACTGAATCAAGTAGGTTTGTGAGAATGATACGAGTTTATGATTTACCAGGGAGTTAAGATCTTAACTTCACAAAATCTTATGTATCTGAAGGTAAACAGGAAGCAAGGTTGAAGTAGCAAGAAGTACCCAAAAGGGTTACTTGGCCTCACTGGCAACATTCTCTTTTTAAAGTTTTGACAGTTTGTGTGTATGCCTATACGTGTGTGGATATCAGAGATAACTTGTGAGAGTGGGTTCTCTTTCCACCTGCAGGTTCCAGGGTGGAATTCAGGCTTAGCAGCATGTGTGCTTACTGGCTGGGCCATCTCATGTGCCCAGGTTCTTTTGAAAAACAATGTCTGTGTGTGCCAGTGTATGTGATGTTACTGAAATGAATTATCAAAAGATCTGCCATTGCTTGAATGGTTAAAACCATTTTTTAATCTCCATTTTGTCATTCTATATCACAAGGCTTTTGGAGTTTTCTTTATTCTTGTTTCTATGGAGTGCAGCAAAGAAATAGATGAGTGTATGAATAATGCCCATCATAAATTTAATATCATCACCTGGCTTTGTACAGCTGCTTGGCCCTCAATTCTTCCAGGCCAAAAAGGGTGAGTTTCTTAGGAGAAAATACAGGAGTCTTCCCCTTGCCCTCTGTAGTGACCAGGTGGCCAATGATAGCACAAGTCCCAATCCTGCAAGCCTGGACACAGCTGGACACTGCCTCAAAGGCCTGAGGCAGGAGTGGGCTGTGAATCTGGACTTGCCACACTCCAAATAGAATATAACTGCTTTCTGCTCTGGAACATTTTACTATAAACCGACTCAAAGTTATAAGTTTGGAATATTTCTGATTTGGGACTCATGAAGGTGGGACATTCTACTATTAAAGTGAACAAATTCTGTAATCTGAAACACTTGAATTCCTAGCATCTCAGATGCGGGTTGCAAGGTGCAGTTCCAGTCTTTCTAAGTGCAGGACATGAGAACTCATGCCTTTTCTTGATACTGCTGTGTCAACCAGTGTTGAGTAGGGCTGGACTTTGCCTTCTGCTCTGGGGACCTGTCCCTGCTTTTAGGCTTTTTATATGCTAGGCCATAGCTTTGCCACCGGACTACATTCTCTTGCAGTAGAAGTCCATGTCTTGAGGCTGCTCACGAAGTCCCTCAACACCAAGCACCAGTGTCTGGTGGCCAGGCATGCTGGACAAGCTATCCTACCTCACCCCTCACAAGTGTGCCATCATGGGAAACTCTTGACACACAGCTCTGCTTCTGGCAGAAAGATGCCTTTGTAATTCTTTTGAATTTTGTTTTGCTTTGTGAGATAGGATAAAACAGACTATCAATTACAAAACAACTGAAAACGTTTACTAATGAGGTTTTTTTTAATTTTTAAATTTTTTCAGGAGGAGAGGCATTATTTGGCTTACACATTACTGTTAAACATTGAAGGAAGTCAGGATAGGAACTCAAACAGGGCAGGCACCTGGAAGCTGGAGCTTGATGCAGAGGCCATGGAGGAGTGCTGCTTACTGGCTTGCTCCCCGTGGCTTGTTCAGCTTGCTTTCTTTGGGGCTTCCCACATAAGTTGCTAATTTAAAAAATGCTCTGTAGGCTTGCCTGCGATCCTATCTTACAGATGCATTGGAGTTCTCTTGTTTTAGATGACAGTAGTTTATGTCAAGTTGACATAAAATTAGCCATCACACAGTTCATTACAATACACTATTGAGTTTTTAAAAAGCCACTAAGTTGTACATCCTTGCCACAATTATAACCGCTGACAGCAGTCTTGCTTTGAAACTAAGATACTTCATGAGGAGTAGATGTCTTTATAAAAAAAATATGCTCCTGTGAATTACAGGTCAAAGCTAGTTTTCCCATTCTAAATCCGTAGCACAGTGATTCTAAACTGTCCCACTGACCTGTGAATTCATTTCCTCTGGTACTTCTTTCAGGTGTGATTTTTTTCTTCTTTGTGGGGAAAAAAAAAAAAAAAAAACCTGTGAGTTTTGCTGTGTCCTTTAGTTGGTTGTAAATGTTCAGCTCTCATCCATATAACTTGTTAGATTTCACAGATAAGGTGCTGAAAGCCACCAACGAGGTGAGGAAACATCAGGCGGACCCTAATGCTGGATTCTGATTATCATGTCTGTTCATACACAGGGCAGTGAATGATTTTACACCCACATGACTAGTGTTTCCATGGCCTGGCAATTTTTAACAACATTTTTCATATTTAAATAAAGACTAGAGAAAGGATGTTAACACTTACTTTCCTGCTTACCTATGCACGCCTTACAGAAAGGCAGCCCCACCTTATCTAGTTGACATTTACAACATTAAAGATGGTAGGCATTTTTAAAAGATTTATTTATTTATTTACTTATATACAGTGTTCTGCCTGCAGGCCAGAAGAGATCATCAGATCACATTATATAGATGGTTGTGAGCCACCATGTGGTTTCTGGGAATTGAAGTCAGGACCTCTAGAAGAGCAGCCAGTGCTCGTAACCTCTGAGTCATCTCTCCAGCCTGGCACTTATAAGCAAAAAATTCTATAACAAACCTCTCTACATAGTAGTAACAGGGACTCACTTCATGTATTTCTATATGCTCTTGGATTGTCAGTTTGTTAAAACAGAAAGCCGGCTAGCATCTCTCCTAATGAACAATATGAATTAATCATAACCCTCACCCCCAACAAATTAATGTTTGCTTTAGGATGATGATTTTTTAAAACAACTGATTCTCCTGCAAGTTGAGATGCACAATATTTAAAACAATATTGGTATTCTTCTAGGTGTTTCAGTCCAGTTGACATGAAGAACATTGGAACTTCATGTACTCTGGGTGTTTACTTAAGACTTCCTGTTACATCTGCTATAAAGCACTTCAACAGATGGACTCCAGAATAGGTCACTGCACTGTGAAAAGAAAAGGAAACTGAATTCATGTTATGCAGTTTTTGTTTTTTTAAAACAATCTCTTATAATCCCATGTAGAAGGGCAATGCCTTTGGTCTGTCCTGTCTTCCTCCTGTCAACTTCATGCAGTATTCTGCCCTATCTAAAAGAGATTCACACATCTGTTCTGATGATCCCCAACATCTGATCCATTCCTTTCAGGATTCCTTCCTGCACCTTCCATTTTGCTTTCTGTTCTCCAGAGTAATTAGTTTTGTCTTTTTGTAATAAAAATTCAAACACCTTGAAGTATTTTGAGGTTAGAAAACAACAATCCCCACACACTGACTTTCCTGTGTCAGTCTGTCTCCATGGGTGCAGAGGTAGACAACTGTGGTCTCTCAGACCTGAAAATACTCTGGTATTATAAAAGGTGGGATCTTGCCTGTCATGCTGCCAGTTAATATGTACAACATTTTAGATTTTCTGGCTAAAACTACCATTTGAAAACAGCCTTATGATGGCTTTTACAACTGACTAAGCATATGTAATTTAGAGGGGAGATGCAGGCTAGATGAGTTATACACTGATTGGCACTTGGCACTCATGTACAATGTTTCTGTTAACTCTCAACTCTGTTCCCAGAGTCTGTTCTAATCTGCTTGGAATTTTATGACACAAACACACAGAAGCAATTAGACTGTGCCTACTCACCTATTTTTCTCATGTCACTTAAAAAATACACTATTCATAATAATCTATATGTATACTTCACATCTACACATTTCTATCATGTTGGGCCAGAGTCCATGCATGAAAATTACAACTTAATTTTTGTCCATAGGTTCAAAGCCAAACCTTCCAGATTAAGTGTCTTCACTTTCCTCTTAAGACAGCGGTTCTTAACCCATGGGTTCAATCCCTTTGACAAACCTCTATTTCCAAAAGTATTTACATTATAATTCACAACAGTAGCAACATTAGTTAGGAGTAGCAATGAAAATAATTTTACGGTTGGGGGTGGGTCACCACAACATAAACTATTAAAGGGCCACAGCATCAGGAAGGTTGAGAACCACTGTCCTAAGAGAATATAGGGAGAACAGAAAATAAAACCTGACTTATTTACAGTACTCGGTTGTGAATAGGCCAAACTCCATCTAAAAGAATGTCTGGAGCTCTAACAAACAAGAGAGCAAGTGTGTCCAAGTCTACAAGGTTTTGAGAGATATGAGCATATTCTATGAATGATTGCTGTGTAAAAGAGAATGGTGAATTTCTTTCAGGGCAATAAATAGGCTTCCATGTCTCAATTCATAGATTCTGAGTGCTGGGTGACTTTCTACAGGGCCATAATCACATGTGGTAAACAAATATGTATGGCACACAACAGAGAATGCTGTCATGTCTAAAAAAAAGCAAATGTCTTTAAAAACACCAGGAATCCAATAATGTGGCTCTTAAGCCTAACCCTGCCATTTGTGATTAGCCAGAAAGGAAATTATATATTTAAAGTGTATTTATCAATTCATAATATATGACACTTCTAGTGACATTTACCAGTGAGAAAATGGACTTAGAAAAAAAAATGAAAAGTTGCTTTAAAACCTGTAGCCTCTAACAGAAACCCACAGATGTTATAAAATCCACGGCTATCTGACCCTAAGGTTCAGACTCTCTCGAACCCCATTTCTCACTTGTAGCTTTCTATGTGAAACAGGAATGTTTACTATGAAGACCAATGCAGCATGCTGTGTGTGCAGCACTCTCTGCCTGCCCCCATTATTTGTTTTCATATTTAGTTAATGTCAGGCCACAATCTGACAGGACTAGTGTTTGGCACATAGTTTATGTATACAGCAGTGTGGAGTTATTGCCTCATCAGTCATTTCTCTGGAACTCCCATGATTCCACCGACGTAGCTCCCAAAATTATTAATTTTCCCTAGTAACATCATGCCGGTAATTCAAACTCAGCTTGTAGTAATTAAAATTTACAGTTTTTTCAACATAGGTATATATTAGCCATGTGTGCTTTTTAAAACCCATTTTATTTCTTAGTAGACAGTTACATGGTTGTTTTAAATGACAATGCTGAGGGCTCTGGAAGGTATTAGGACTTTGTTCTGACCTGTAGGATTTGCAATGCACTTGTAGGATAAGGGCAAAGGAAGCTGGCAGGTCTGAACATAGGTGGAGAGAGCACTGTGCAGGAATTAGGAGGGGGCCTGAAAGGCACATTCATAATTTCAATTTCAATCTGATCTAGACTGATATGACTAAAACAGGTAAGGGGACAGCTCCACCTACACCACACCGTTACACTTTTCTTTTTCTCACAAATTACCACGGTGCCTCCCACAAACAAGTCAGGGCAAGAAAACCAAAGACAGATGCTCCACCTGCCTCAGTACACATTGCTCACTGTACCCAAGATACACAATAGTAGGAAAACCCCAAGTGTTTCCACTTCTGTTCACTGTATCATAATGTCCCCAAATTAACCAGCTCAGAAAAATACCTATTCTGTCTGTTCAGTTTAATCCGAACTCGAAACATTTTTTTCTTTATATACTCCTATTTTATATTACATTTTTAATTTTTTTTTAAACTCAGCTGTACACAGTCTTCATGGAAGAAAAATTTTCCTGTCAATTTTCAGGCAAGCGGATCTGTTAGGGCCTGAAGGAGCTCTACACCTTAAGTAGTGTTCATTCAAGTCAAGGAGCTGTGGGGCTGAGGCTGCTTGTCAGGTGGAAATGCTTGTTGAAAGCCTGATGACCTGGGCTTAAGGGGCAGGCAGGAAAGAACTGACTCCAGAAAGGTAACCTCTGACCTCCACAGGACCAAGGCACCCATGTGACCGCACACATGGTAGGCAAATAATAAGTAAAAGCTGATTTGAAAAGTAAAGTTTCATTTCTGTCATGGCCTAGGGTTGAGCTAGGTTGAAGTACTAAGAGAATGAAGTACCTTTAAGGAAGAGCAGGCTTGAAAATAAGAAGAGTAAAATACTAAAGCTCACAGCTCCTCCATCATGGAACACCGATTTCATAGTAAAGGCTTTTTATTTTTGGTCGTGGTGGGGAGTTGAGACAGGGTTTCTCTGTGTAATAGTCCTGACTGTCCTGGAACTTGACCTGTAGACCAGACTGGCCTTGAACTCAGATATCTGCCTGGATAGGCTTCTAGCAGTCCACGTTATTAGAGCAATTTGATTCTTACCTTATAGGAAACAACTGAGGGAAACAGCCTTGTGTCTGTGTGTTAACAAATTTCTGAATCTGAAGCACTTGTTTTAAAAGATAGCCCTTGGAAGACTTGTCAATTTTTGTTAAGACCATCTATAAGAAAAGGATTTAAGTATTAGAATCAATATAGTTTTAGACATTTTTAACTAATTTTTCAGTTAGTTGAGTTGGGTCATGTAAATTTCTTAATCTCTATCTATAGATACTTTCTCATCTATAAAATAAAACAAGATATAAATAACTTGATGATGATGAGATAAGCTAAAATATGCCATATATAAAGTGTGCATTGATGTTTGCTACTTAACAATGCTTTTAGCATACACAACCATAACACCTTAGGCTTTATTTAAAGATCAGTGAGAACCAAAGCCACATTTGTAACTAACACCAGCTGTTTTATATGATTAGTGTATTTTAAAGATATTTAAATGAATACAATTTGACTGAGCCATAGGAAGCTGCCAATATATAACAATTTTGAAACAAATAAGTTTTAATTTTACATGTAATACTCTAACAGGAAAGATTAGATATTGGGTTCTTTGTTGGCTATATCTACTTTAGTTGTATCCTAGGTAAACCTAGAATGTTACTTATCCAATTACAAAATAGTAGAAGGTCAAAGCATGGGTGATTATAAATCAAGGAAAATGTAACATGTCAATCTACCAGGTTTTCCCAAGGAATATCAAACACTAGCATATACACTCTGACATGAAGCTGGTGGTGATGGGGCTCATCCATCCCCTGGGCTAAAATTTAAAGTCATCTTTTTGTTTGTTCTTTCCCCTCTTTTGGGGTACCTGGATTATGCTAATAGAACTGAAATATATGATTTCACAAAGTGGTACCTATGTTACAAAATCAGGAATACTATTACTTCACAGCCAGTTTGATAATATTTAGTCATTTTTATACTAATTCCTTGATGCACTGTAACAGTTCCTAATACGTCATAGGACTTCTGCAAATCTCAAGAACTTCATAATTTCAAGAATACAACAAAAGTGGTTGCCGAGTTGCATGGTTTTATTCACACAAAACCTCACTGCTTCATTTTAGTAGTTTCTGTCATTTTTGAAAAGTAAATTATAGCCATTGGGTTCTTCACTTTTCTTAAAAAGGAACTTTAAAAGTCTATCTGGAAGTACTACAAAGCAAAATGTGGATACTAACCCACCAATCTGCATTTTAGTGTAGGTCAATTTTATGCTGATAGAAAAAAAAAAGAGGTTCCTAAGTTTTAAATTTAACTTTTTATTTCATATGCACTGGTGCTTTGCCTGCATATATGTCCGTGTGAGGGTGTCAGATCCCCTGGAACTGGAGTTACAGATACTTGTGAACTGTTAAGTAGGTTCTAGGAAATGAACCTGGGTCCCTTGGAAGAAAAGCGGTGCTCCCAATGGCTGAGCCATCTCTCCAGCCCAGAAAATAATTTTTTTGAAGAATATAAAATTTCTACTTGTGTGTGCTGTATTGGAATCTCCTAAGTTTCTATTGCAGCTTTAGTTACATCTTCATAAGTACTATACCATGAGCTGCTGTTCAAGAGCTAGTAACATGTTTTAGACAAATGTTTTTATTGTAATAAAAAAAAAAAAAAAATCCTGGGAAGAAAAAGCATTTCAGAACACTAAATGGACAGTTTAAGAAACTCTGACTATAAATTTAAAAGCTTGTATAGCTCCAATATATTAAGAGCACATGCTGTTCTTTCTGAGGACTGAGTTTGGTTTTCAGCACTCCAAATGGGTGGTTTGCAACCTCCTGTAACTCTAGCTTCAGAGAAATCTATTGTCCTCTGCTGGACTTCATAGGTATCTGCATACAGCCTGTGCATGTGTACATACATGAATTCTTATTCTGTCTGTTTCTGTTCCCCCCTCTCCATGCATTTAAAAACTTAAAACTAAAAGAAGGAAAAAGAGAAAATGTCACAGAACTTAAAGGTACTTTTGATTTTTTTTTTGTGTGTGTATGTGATGTATACTTGTGTTATGTGTGTAAGAGTGTGTATGTGTATATGTGCACATGTGTCTGCCTGCAGAAACCAAAGGAGGGCATATGTCTTTTCCATCACTTTTGCCTTTTCCCTTTGAGCCAGGGCCTCTAACTGAATCTGGAGCTGGGCTGGTAACCAGCAATCATGTGATCCTCTGGTCTCCAACATCTATACCACTATACCACTAGGGTTATGGGGATGCATGTGACCACACAGCTCATGTGGGTGCTAAGGACTAGAACTTAGGTTCTCATGCTTGTGTAGCAAGCATTCCTACCCATGGAACCATTTCCCCAGCCACTCCTCTATCTTCGGAGGGAATGCCTGCTCACTACCAACAAGTATACGTGCGTATTTATATGCATTCCAAACTGTGATTTCTAACTGTTACCATAACTCTATAGACACACTTACCACATAAGGCAATGCAAATTCTTCACACATTTCTATGGCAATATTGTCTAACTTGGTAATTCCAACAACACTATCCACTAGCAAAAACGTTCTCTTCAGGCTGTAAGAATAGAAAGAAAAGGAATGGCAATATAAGATATACTCATTCATCTGTCTCTCTCATCCTAGGAACTTCATTCTGTAGTCCAATAGGACTCAATGCAGTTAGTTGTACTTTCAATAATTAAATTTTCCAAATACCAATTTATTTCAATAAGAACATATTAAGCCAACTGAGTCTTAACAGAAAGATACATGAGACCCCTCCTGTAAGACCTTAAACTCTAGTTGAAAAGAGACAAAATGAAATTTATTGTAGTTTTAAATATTACCTTAATTTTCATCTTTTATATGTAAAACTACAAGAAACAATTTTTTTATATATATGTACACACACATACACACAATTTGTGATGCTGACATCAAATCCAGAGCCTTTAGCAAGTTAGGCAAGTACTCTTCCTGAGCTGTATCCTTGGTCCTTTTTTTATTTTTAAATAAATAGTTCTTTTTTCTTTCTTTTTTTTCAAGACAGGTTTTCACTGTGTAACCCTGGCTATCCTGGAACTCTCTTTGTACACCAGGCTAGCCTCAAACTCAGAGGTCCACATGTCTCTGCCTCTGCTGTGATTAAAGGCATGCAGCACCAATGCCTGCTATGAATAATTTTTTATATATATACTTCAGAAGCCTAACATCATTTTCCTCTACATTGTGTGATTCTTGAAACACATTATTTTGCTTGATTCCTTATGGAGATCAAAAAAGATAGCATTTTCAGAGTTTGCAATGACTGATCTACTTTAAGACAGGGTATACTAAATTTTATTTAAATCAATTAGCTAATAATTTTCATTTTCATAATTAGCTGGATTTAAAAAAAAATGAATGAACTAATTGTTGCACACTATTGTTTCACCTTGAGAAGATAAATGAAGTTAAGATTTTCCTGAGCTATAGGCAGATGCTAAACAGGCAGTGTATACCCTGGTCCTCAATATTGTATTGCAGAGTAATATGAGGATAAAATGTACCTACAAGTAAGTCATTTGATAAATCTGAAGTAGTTGTCATGTGTAGAATACTACTGATTTTAGAAAGTGCTTTGGTACTAAATGTGAAACTATTGTAAGAAAAAGTTTCCTTACTTCTTTCGTTCTTTTAGATAGGTCTCTACCATGTCAACAAAGTCTTCAGGGGCTCTATAGCCATACCCTGGCATGTCCACCAATGTAAAATATTTTCCAACTTTGAAAAAATTCATTTTCTTTGTGTGCCCCTAATAAAGTAAATGGGAAAAAAAAAAAAGCTGGCTTAAAATATGTCCTTTACTTCACGACTAGAAATGTTGTCTATTCAATTAACAAATATTTATTAAAAGTTGAGGTATATGAAGATAAGTGGCCACCAATAATTAAGTCATAATTAAATCTCTTCAATTTATTTTTTAAAATAAAATGTTTAGCTTAAACATTTTACATTTCATATTAAAAAGACATAGACAAAATATTTCAGAGTCTTTCCTATTTTGCTGTCTATGAACATCATCCAGATTTAAGTTGTATGTCTGCAATTAGTCAATTCACTGATGAACATCACACACAGAGGAATGAATTAGGGAGCAGATCAAATGTTTATCCCATCATACAGATTTTCCATATCCAAAGTCTGACATTTCTTGTCTGCAAACTAGTGTTTCCCTAAACCAAGATGTTTTGTGTGTGGGTTTTAGTGTCTTCATAGACATTTTTTTTAAAGACTGTGCAACATCATAATTATAAAAATAAAGCGTGATTAAAATTGATGCAAAGACAAAATGTGGGTACTAATGCTTTTGTGTTTACGAAACACTTAGGAATCAGAAAAGGAAAGACAATTTAAAGCCAACTGTTTAGATCTTAGAAAAAACAATATCAAAGGAGAGGATTGTTTGTTTGTTTTATAAATGATGATTAAGTTCCTCGTTAGCTATCTGTCCATCTGTTAGTGTTTTTAGAATTGTATGTTTGAGAGTGAAAAGAATCAATTTTATCTATTGTCTGTCCTCTTATACAAGAATGGAATTCATCCTATCTAAAAGTCATAGTTTAGCTGGCTTCTTTTATTTGGTGAGGAAGAGGAGTGAAGATGAAGTGTTAAGGAATGGAATCATTACTGATGAAGTGGGGAGAATAAACCTAGTGGTTTCATGGAAGGGCTCAAACACAACGAAAGGGACAGGGGATGGTGAGCATTACAGCTGGTGGGACTGGTCTGCCATACAGACACTAATGTAAGGGGAACCAGGGGTGAGTTTTGAGAAAAGGCTAATTTAGATACTAGCTGAGTCTGCAACATTGGAAAGGAAGTAGAAAGAAGGGGAAATGAGGAAGGACAGTAGAGCAGAGTGTACTTGTGAAAACAAGCATGGAGTGAGAGCCTTGGGTAAAAGAATAAGCATGACTGGTTTTATGTGCAAGAATGTATGAGCGTGTGTGTAAGGAGACATAAAAGATTACAGAAGATAAAGTAAATTTTAAACTCCCTTTTCCTAAAACGAATGTGGAACTAGATGCTATTATATAAGGAAACAGAAAAAAAAAAAATGTAACAAAATGCTTAATTTGCCAGTTGGAGATCTGTCTAAAGGATGCTTTCCTCAAGATATTGGCAAGATTTCTACATTCTACAGTCAATTCGGACATACTTCCCGTTTTTCAGGCAATACACAGGCACTAACGATGTCTTACCTTATTATTTGTTTAAAAGAAATCTCTTCTCTAGGAACTTAGCAATTAAGATCTCTTGCACCTTCCAAAACTTAGGTCTCATTTTAGTAAATTCAAGAGATACCCAGCATACCGGTTTTTTTGAGATTCTGACTTCTACATCAGGGGCCAGCGAAAATAAGGCCTTTATCAAGGACGATTTTCCAACATTGCTTCGGCCTATGAAACACACCTAGTAAGAGGGGCAAAAAGGAGAGCTTAGAGAACTGAACCGTGGTTTATTTACTAAATGTTTTATTTGCGGGGCCGGAGAGAGATATGGCGCCGTGGTTAAGTGCACTTGCTGCTAGAGGAATCTGGTTCAATTCCCAGCCCACATGGCTGCTCACAAACGCCAGAAACTCCGGCTCTAGGAGGATCAGATGTCCTCTTCTGGCTTCTGAGGAAACCGGCAAGCGTGTGGTGCACAAACACGCCTGCAGGCAAAACAATCGTAATAAAATAAAGCACTGGCTGCAGTTTAGGAGGATCGGGGTTCGATTCGCAGCACCCACACTGCGGCTCACCGCGGTTCTCCACCGGCTTTGCAAAAGAGGCGGTGCATCTACACCAAGTTTTCTGTGTGTTGGACTTTCAAAGTCTCTCACGTTGGGGGACAGGACGTGAGCACCGATGATCTCGGCGGTCTCACCTCCGGCTGCCGCAGGCTCGGGGCGTGGTCTAGGCGAACCGCGGAGCTGAGGTACTCGATGCGGTTCCGGGCCGTGGCCTCGAAGACGCTCTCCGCCCTGGCGATGTCCTCCAGGCTCGGGTCGAAGAGTCTCTGTTCGATAAGGCCTGACCCGGTGTCCGTGACGAGGTGCTGTGCCAGTTCCCGCAGCGGGTACACGACTCTTGTTAGCTGTTTCTGAGGTAGCCTTAGCACTTCAGCAAAAGTGGAGGATGTGCTGTAAAACCGGGGCCAGCGCCCCAATGCTGGCGCCATCTCAGCCAGCCTCCCCATCCCACGCCACTGTCCAGAAGCCGCCATTTTTCTCTCCCAGAATCCTCACGACGATTTCGTTCATAGGGTCTGACAGTCTCCCTGCCGTGGAGCCTGCTGGGAATTGTAGTTTTCTAGGGCCTTCTCGCCCGCTCAATCTTCTCATTGCTAAAGACTGCAAGAACTGGAGGGGTGTGTGTGTGTTGGGGAGGGGGAGAACCCGCTGACTTTAACACGTTGGCCTTACCAACTGTGCATCAGGTTGGTGTTTTCTGTGGGAAAGTCTTCAGCCGTGTCCAGAGGCGAAAAACCTACGTCGTCCGGTGGTCTTTGAGGCACAAGGGGAAGGATCCATAGTGCAAAGCTCTAGTGGACTCTAAGGCCGAGTCGTCTTACAGATGATTGACATTTATCATACGTTCACAGTACTGAAAAAAGCATGCTTGCAAAAATTAAATGAGCTGATGAGAAATGTGGTTGGAATAGCACCTCATTTTCGGAGAAGGGACTGTATCTCTCCCGCAGACATGCAATTGGAGGGGCAGCTGAGAACTCACATCCAGATCCATAAACGGGAAACAGAGCTGGGAATGACCTTTCAAGCCTCAAAATGCAGCCCCACCTCCAACAAGGCCACACCTTCTAATCCTTTCCAAACAAACCCGGGACCAAGTTTTCAAACATATGAGTCCATTCTAATCAAACCACCACAAACATTTAATCACCATTTTCCCCTCTGTCACTCTGTCATTTTAAAAAAGCATCTGTATGTACCCGGCACATAAATTTTAGAAAGATGACTTAGAGACAATATATGCTGCTATGTTTTCTCTGGACTTATATGATCAAACTCTTCCCAGTGAGACAGAAGTGCAAAAAAGACATGTATATAACAGTTACATCTCCCAGTGAGAGGGTGGAAAACTAGGATGGATTTAGAGGAACTTACCCCATTAAAGTTGCCATGGGAATCATAAAGAGCACAGACAATTGCGAAAGTTCAGGAAAATCAAGCCAAAATCGGTATAGAAGATCACATCTGGTAAATGAAATCCTGCAATAACTTCCAGCAATACTTTGACCCTGGTTTCTGGTGTTTTGTCAATATGAAGTAGATATTAGTCTATAGCGATATATTAGGAGTCGGGATCTAGCTTTATACACCAGAGGTTTGTCTGGGCTAAGATTGAGAATAGACTTAGCTCTAGAGAGGTAAAGCAATATAGAAAAACACATGGTCTGTGCACAACATACAATGTCCAAAGTCGAATTCTTAATATTGCCTCTTTCTCCCCTGTTTTGTTGGTTTTGCATTCATTCCGGTCACATTAAATGACAACAGTGCCCTTTCAATTTATCCAGCCACACTTCTTGAGGGAAAGTCTTGATTTCTTTCCTTATAGCCTACACTTAATCTATCAGCAATCTTGGTGATTTAATCTTTGACACGTCCTGAATTTGAGTCTTTAGCAGATCCACTGTTAGTATCATGTTTCCAGTCCCCATTACCTCTCATCTAGGTAATTACTGTAGCTTCCAAAAACTGGTTGTCTACCATTGCTGTTTACTCCTTTGGTACATTCCTGACATAACAGCAAACATTACTCTGTTAAAATGAAAGTGAAAATCTCCAGCATCTTCTTGTCTCAGAGAAAAGTCAAACTTAAGAAGCATAGGTAGCTCCGCCTCTCTGCAGACACCTGCCTGGAATGTTTCCATCCAGAGGCTACAGGATTTGCTTCTTTACCATTTGGAGTGTTTGTGGCTATCATTCTGAAGAAGTGGCTTCAATTTTGAGATAGCCCACCACGGAGCTAACACTTAAAAAAAATCAGTATAACATAGACAGGTATTGCATAGTCCTTAGAGTAATTTTTATTTTATTTATTTTAGACAGAGAGTTTTGTTACATAGGTCAGACTAGCCTCAAAGTCATGATCCTTTTGCTCAGCCTTCTGACTTATGTACCACCACACTCCAGATTTAGAGCTCTACCCTGCCAGGCTTAGCTGTTAAGGACAGGAAGGAGGTTGGTATATCAGTGAAGAGATCACACCATCACAGTTGTTTTTCCATTGTTGTCTGTCTCTGAAATGAATGGCTTTTTGTCTTCAAATGATCATGAGCTATGTATAACCAGTAGGTATCAAGTTTAACGATTCCATCTAATCCAAGAAGGTAAGCAAGCCTTGTAGGCCTAGACAGGTAGACAGAATCACGGGCATCAGAGAGTCAGCAAATACACAACTCACACAGGCAAGCTCTTGTTCAGAGTTTAGACACACCACACTTTGTTTTTTGTTTTTATTTTTAAATTAGAAACAATCTTATTTTACATATTAGTCTCAGTTCTCTCTCCCTCCCATCCTCCCTTGCCCCCACTGACCTCCCATCCCATCCCCCATTCACTACCCAGGGAGAGTGAGGCCTTCTATGGGGGATCATCAAAGTCTGTCACATCATTTGGGGCAGGGCCTAAGTGCCCTCTCTACCCCCACGTATCTAGGCTGAGAGAGTATCCCTCCACAGGGGAATGGGCTCCCAAAGTTCATTCCTGCACTAGGGATAAATACTGGTTCCACTGACAGAGGCCCTATAGACTGTCCAGGTCTCCCAACTGTCATCCACTTTCAGGGGTGCTGGTTCTGTCCAATGCTGGTTCCCCAGCATTATGACTGGGGTCTGTGAGCTCCCACTTGCTTGAAAGATTTTAGTTTGCAGAGCAAGGATGTAGGAAAGGAGCAGGAGAATAATTCTTGCAAGCAGAATATAGAAAATCATAAAGCATGGACATTGACATGGGAGGAGAGAACAGAAATTATGAAAACAAGAAAGTTACTATGGTGAGGGGGCTAGTGGTCATGCTAGGCTGATTCTGTTAAATGGGGCTAGTAACTGAATCATCAATCTCTTGTGAAATAACTGAAGCCTCTCCCAGGTCATGGCCCACAACAAGGAAATAGGCCCCCAACCCTGGAACAAATGATTCCAGATGAACAGCCCTGTTTGGGTCACTCCTGGCCAATGGACAGTCTGGGAACTTTCCAAATCATTCTGTGGTTTATCGTTTGAAGAACAGGTCATACCTGTGTGATTTCTCAAACATGAGATCATACTTTGTAATCAATCACCTTGTGCCCCATGCATGTATGCTGATTGCGGTCTTTCTCTATAAAAAGAGAGCCTATACCCTTTGGGGGGTGTGCAGCTTTCCCCAGGATTGCTGTCACCCGCCCATACTTGTTCAATAAACACCTCTTGCGTGTTGCATCTCCTGGTTTTGTTTTTGTCGTGGGGCTCTCCCATTGGCCCATCAGGACCCCAGAATTAGGGTCCAACAGCTCAGATCAGCTGTTTTTGTGGGTTTCCCCAGTGTGGTCTTGACCCTTTTGTTATCACTTCTCCCTCTCTACAATTGGATTCCAGGAATTCAGCTCAGTGCTTAACTGTGGATCTCTGCTTCTACTTCCATCAACTATTGGATGAAGTTTCTTGGATGGCATTTAAGGTAGTCATCAATCTCATTATATGGGAAAGGCATTTAAGGCAGCCTCTCCACTATTTCGTAGATTCTTAGTTGGGGTCATCCTTGTGGATCTCTGAACATTTCCCTAGTGCCATATTTCTTTTTAAACCTATAATGGTATCCCTTTACTTGCTCTTCTCTATTCTTCACCAAACTCAGTCTTCCTCATGTTCCCCCCTCTGCTTTTCTCCCCTTCTCTTTCTCCTACCTCCCTTCCCTCTCCCCCCATGCTCCCAATTTGCTCAGGAGCTCCTGTTTTTCCCCCTTCTGAGGGGGACAATGTGTTTCTTTTTTAGGGTTCTCCTTGTTTCCTAGCTTCCTGGGGGTGTAGATTGAGACTGGCAATACTTTGCTCTATGTCTAATATCCATATATGAGTGAGTTTGTCTTTTTGAGACTGAGTACCTCACTCAGGATGGTTTCTTCTAGTTCATCCATTTGCCTGCGAATTTCAAGATTTCATTGGTTTTTTTTTTTTTTTTTTTTTTTTTTTTGGTTTTTGGTTTTTTTTTTTTTTCCTGCCAAGTAGTACTCAATTGTGTAAATGTACCCAATTTTCTTTATCCATTCTTTGGATGAGGGACATCTAGGTTGCTTTTAGGTTCTAACTATTACAAATAATGGTGCTACGAGCATAGTTGAACAGATGTCCTTGTTGTACGAATGTGCATCCTTTGGGTATATGCCTAAGAGTGGAATTGCTGGGTTTGAGGTGGACTGATTCCCATTTTCCTGAGGAACTGCCATACTGATTTCCAAAGTGTCTGTACAAGTTTGCACTCCCGCCAGCAATGGAGGAGTGTTCCCCTTCCATTCTGACAAGTGGAAGATGGTATCTCACAGTTGTTTTGATTTGCATTTCCCTGATGGCTAAGGATGTTGAGCAATTTCTTAAGTGTCCTTCAGCCATTTTAGATTCCTCTATTAAGAATTCTCTATTTCTATACCCTACTTCTTAATTGAATTATTTGGGATACACCATACTTTGAATGTCTGGATAGAGATAAGAGCAGAGACAATGGGAAAGCTTGCTTTTGAATATAGGAAGAGGTTATGGATTAGTATGCAGTGTTTTTTTTTTTTTTTTTTTTTTGTTTTGTTTTCTTTTGTTTTCTTTTGGTTTGGGTTTTTTTTTTAAACAAAGGTTCTTTTTTACTTTTACTTTCCACTTCTTTATTATTATTATTATTTTAGTTAATTTTATATAACAAAGTCCAATTAAATGAAAACAAACATTACTTCATGTAATTTTAATTCAGTCTAACATCTTTTTTAAATTATTTCATATAACCAAGTCCATTTCAATGAAAATAAACATTTATAGACAATATTTGGGAATTTGGGCGTCCTTCTTTCCAAACTACTTCCTGCTGGTAAGGGGTGCTGTCATGGGGAATTCGAAGAAGATTCAGAAATCCTGGCTGTAGTGTGTAAGGCTGCTCTGTCCAGCTGTTTTGAATGTAGGATCACTTTGTACTCTGTTTCAGGCGGTCTGGCTTGATCAAACGACATTAGTTTGGAA